CGTTTAGTTACCACGTGCCAGAGGGTTTTTTCTTCTGCCTTTATTGACTGGTGGTGTTCGTGCAGACACATTGTTCTGAACTCAAAGCTTCCTTTACTTTTTGTGGAATTTGTGTCCAAATATAGTAAAAAGGGCTTTTAATTAATATATACCCCAAATGGTTTCAAAAATGTTTTTTATTACATGTATAACTGAAGCTGCTACTCTCAGAAAATGTGTGGTGGCTTCCTATCGTGTACACCAGATGTTTATTCTCAATTCATTCTTTGGAAGTTTTTACGATGTTGCTTACCTTTTAAAAGGAAGAAGCATGGAAATTACTTGCAACCATTCCTTTCCATAACAGTTTTCTTTTTTCTTTCCATAATAGCTGTAAAGTAATGGTGTTCATATACTGGACACACTTTCTCCAAAAGCTATTCTTTAAAATGACCTAAAAATCTCTTTTTTCTCACCCCTTTATCTTTCCCGTGCTTATTTCCTGCTTGTTTCAGTAGTTTTCTCAGCTACACATACAAAAGCAATCTGGTTCCCGCATTTCACATTCACTTCCATGCTGGGCAGATTTATATCTGAACAGTCTGTTCAGGTTTGATGGTACGGTCTCCATTAAATTAAAAAAATAGGGAGGGAAAATTCACCCAAACATCTGCTGTATTGTGAGGAAAGGTAGGGGCTGGCTCTGATGTCAATACTGGTTCAGTACAAGACGGTGGTGGTGGGGAAGATGTTTGCAAAGACTAACTTTAGCCCAGTCAATCTAATCTCCCAGGCTAAATTAGGTTTGTACTGAGACTTGCCCTCAAGAGGATCCTGTCTTTCCACTGGCTCTGCAGAGAGCCTGGAGAGATTAGGCGCGCAAACAGTAGCTACCCTTTGTGGTGGTATCTGCAAACACTTTCATGGATTTCCACACAGAGCCAAGGTAGGGGCTAACAACGAAGTCACATTTTGATCTTTGTGGCATCTTCCGAGTCTTAATATCAGCAAAGAGGCAAAGGCCTTTAGATCGCAGTTTCCCAAAAGCTTCAAGTCAGTTTAAGGCAGTACTGCAGCTCAAGTCTGCTGCCTCACTTTCCTCTCCCCACATCCCACCCCCCTACCCCACGGCTGCGCACCCCTATCCGTACACGGGTACGGGTGCCTGGGCTGCTGCCCACTGAACTCATCTGGGTTAAAACCAGCCTTGGCATGGACGGAGTCTTAACCTGGACTAATTCTGCTGCAATGTATTTTACCATGTTAATCAAAACAAAATAGGAGAAAAATAAAGGAAAAAGGAAGGAAAGCCTGGTGCGGGAGCAGGGATGAGCAGCTAGGAGTGGGTGGCTGGGACGGGCTGCCTCTTCAGCAGCAGAGCCAGCTTAAAGTGTTTATAAAGCTACAGCCTTTGTTTCTTCAGCGTCTTGCAGAACCACATTTTCCTCCTCCTGTTTGTATAGGCCAAGCTCCCTCCTCCTATATTTCCAACTTAGCTGCGCACAGATTTACATCTAGAGGCCAGAACAAGCTTGTTAGAGATACCTGTAGCAGTTTGGAAACGGCAAGGACTTGTAAGAGTCTCTTAAAAGTCCTTTGGATTAGTAGTAAAGTTTACTGTAGGTTAACTGAGGATTAATTTTTCAGTGTGTTATTCATCTCCAGGACTAGAATTTTGCCTTTTTCTAGGTTTCAGGAATTCCTCTGGGTAAAGCTCCTGTCTCATAACATTTTCTACATTAGAGCCTCAAATACTTGCTGAAAAATGTTTTTTAATTTTGCCTTTTCCTCAGCTAAGGTCTCCAGGTTTGCTAAAATATTAAACTATGATTTTAATAGCCTAAAGGGACAAAGATATCTTGAATACTCACTGCTTTTATGACCAAAATTCAAAGCTCAACACATTCTAAATAGGGTGTCAGAGGAGACGAAGCATCCTGCCTATTCAGCCGCATCCCGCTCCTGGAAAATTTCATTTTGCTGTACAATTTTAATTATCCCTGTTGCAGCTACAACAAGGAGGAGTAAATAGAGGAGCAACAGAGAGCTAATGAATAAAAATCAAATTAAGGATTTGAATTTTCTGTGAGAAGTGCCTGAGGAAATATTTGGATGCCTTCACTGAATATTATGGATTTCCATAATAAACACTGACAGAGACAATGCTTCAGTATTTCACTGACTTTCTACTCCTTGTCTTCTCACTCTAGTTTAATAGGTGTGGAATTTTGTAAGGAGGTGGACAGTGGTTAAGTGGAAATACACTGAAAACGAGTACCAATTCAATGCTGAGACTGGGATTAATGCATAAAGCACTGCTGCAACTTCTGGAATTCTTGCTAACAATACAAAAAGGCAGAGATGAGGTTTTCAGTATTACGTGAGGATCCTCCAGCTTTTCCATGGTACTGGAAGGCTCTGACTATATTTCTGGAAAAAGTGTTTTTCTGAGACAGATACTTCAGTTTGCAGTAGAAAGAAGAAAGGGGCACCGCAGTTTTAGTATGTCTCCAAGCTCAGTCTCCAATCCCCAGATGCCTCTGAAGAAGCAGATCCTGCCATCTGAAATGGAAACCTAGACAACAAGTTTGGTTTCATTTCTCCATAGAATTCTCTCACTACTTTTCCTCCTCTGTTTATTGTTATAAAATTCAGAGTTTCCTTCTGAGCCTGTTCTGTCTTCTTACCTCTGTCGTTCTTGGTAAGCATGCAAGTCAACTAAAGCAGCGCTCCCTTCTTTAGCGACTAATGTTCTTTTCTTCACTCCACAAAAGGCAGGTTTATGCCTCCCGAACAATCCCAGAAATCCCTTACAGCATAACACAGTGAGAGAAATCCAACTCCAGCAGTGTTACTTGGTGTAGATGTAACAACAAGAGAGGGCAGTGAGAAGAAACCCTGAACTAGCTTTGTCCTTGTTTAAGATAAGCCTCAGCTTGTCAAGCACAGTGCCAATAATACTGTTGTCATAAACATCAAGAGTTAACAGAAGATGTTTTAAAAAATATGCCTTTAATTTTTGTAAATGATATGTTACTCTGAAAAGCAATAAATAAGGATGCTTTTAAAATTTCTACTTGCCTTTTTTGTAAATAAAATTGTTTCCCCCATGACTAGAAAACCTATCACAAACACAGCTCGAGATGCTTAAGGATTATTTTTACCTACCAATTACAGAAGTTCTACATGTCAAATAAGGTTTTAACTATGTGTCCCCATCATCTTTAAATTGCATTCTCAGATAATCCAGCATCACAGACACCAATTATGCATGTATTTAATCTCATACAAACTCTTTTGTGTAGATTCCAATTTCTTCCACACCAGTTCATTCAGAAATAATACCAATTAACTCAGTAGTATCCCATAAATTATAATGACTACATAAATTATTATGGCTGCGGGATTAGAATTAGGACTGGCTGTCTTTAAAGTCTGCCCTTCCTGGTATCTGCTCAACATGTTCTTTTCACCGAATCTGCAAGAATAGTAAGCAATTTGGTAACAAAATGGAACCAGAATACAACTTGCTCTCTATGAGCTACTTAGTGTAGGAAAAGTCTAGCAGTTTTGTAGGCACAAGTCTCTTGGGGTTACTCACTTGTGTGTAAAGAAAGCAGCTCTTGACTTTTTTTTTTTTTTAATATTGATTTACAGCCTTTCCCAAGGAATGTGAGCAAATCCCCTCACCCCTTGCCCCCGCAAATCACACTCTTACGCTAGAGAAAGGCCAGATGTGTGGGGGTGGGGGCAACTGTTTGAATGATTACAACTATATAATTGAAACCTGCATCCTAATTTACACTGAAGAACCTTCACAGATGAGGCTACTGAGTTGTGCCTACATCAATGCCCATAGCAAAGAAGAGTGTATACTCACTTATGGATTACAGATTGGGTTCTCTACGCCCACAAAAGAAATGTCTCCTCAGTGACAACTTTGGGCTCCTAAACTGTAGTAAACTGGCATTTCAACAGCAGATGCTAATAAAAATGTACAAAAATTTTCTTTCAGTCATTTATTCTAATTGATTTAAAGCCTCATGTGTCTTCTGCCAAATGTAAAAACATTTTAAAGTCATACAAATACAAGTGACCCAACAATTCTAAGTACGTAGTCCACGGTACAATAAAATGAAATCAGCACGCAGTAGGGATTATCCATTTTATTTTCTTTATAAATGGATCAATGAAATCACTGTGCTCCAGGAACACACTAAAAAAAATTGAATAAGACTTTTACATCAGGTAGCCTTCCCCTTAACAAAGTTGTACATCGCTTATAATAATGCAGATCGAATCTGGAATAATAGAAACACGAATCCAGTGCCACCCCAGAGCTATGCTGATTGCAAGTACATTCACAAACCAACCCTCCCCCGCAATTCTTCAAAACACCTGCAGAGTCCCGTTTCTACAGCTAGCTAAAAATATGCTTGTTAAAATAGAAAAAGATTTTTCTACAAAAATTTGGGGGAAAGTCATGTCATTTCATCTAAACTGCTTTGCAGACCACGAACTACGATGATAGATCAGCCTTCCCAAGGCTTTCCCTTCCGAGTTCACCCGGATTTTCACGTTCCTAAAAGCGGTCCCACATTGCCACCATGTGGTCAGAGACGAGCACGTTCACCACGGCAGTTGCATATGACGTCTCGGAGAAAATCCATGACAGATACCTAGTCAATGAATAACCACGCTGCAAGTGAAAACGGAAACTGAATTCTGAGAACCGAGTCCTTATGCAGGGAAACCAATTCTATGCATGGACGAATATAAGAAAAATAATTTAAGATATTTTGTGATTAAGTCTTCATTATTGTGACACTCCCCTCCCTAAAGGCACAATCCATTTCTGCTCTTCTTTCTCAGTACGGCATGTACTTGCCAACAAGCAAAATCTATGTGTATGCAAAATGCCTAAGACCATTCATTTCCTTAAACGTAAACGTACTTGAAAAATCTGAAACCTTTTTCCTGGAGTTCAGGAAGCAATAGAAATTGAGTTTTGAAATCATCTTTCACACAGACTTCTTCATTGCTGCCTTTCTCACACTGAAGAGATATGCTTCATAAATAATATTTAAGAAGTTGTCATCATTCTGAAAAACAAACCAGGTAATTGTTAGTGCACAAGAGGTGTTCTTGAGTAAAGAGATTAGAAGTTTTTTCCATTTCATGGATTAAATACTTTTCAACCGTATTCTATCTTAAAAAGCAAGCAATAGGAAGGCTATTTCCTTTTCCAAAAATATGTATTATTTCCAAGCCTTGCTAATAGCATTGGAAGAACTGGATGTGAATACAAACTTTATTGCAGCAAACATGACTGTATCTCTGTAAGAAGTAATGAGTACACAGAAAGCAGATTTTCCAAACTCACAGTGGATTTGAGTGCACTATTCTTGAATGATATCGCAGTGACGATACAATCCTGTAAATTCTTCCCTCTGCCCTCATTTACCTAAGAATTTCCTTAAGTCGTCTCCTCCATTAGGTCAGTGATAATTCTAAGCATATCTGAAGGAACAGTGAAACACCCTGGGTTTTGATCCTATACTAAATCCTACCTGGGCAAACCCTTGCATCTTATTTAGCTCTTTTAGACTTAATGCTCCTAAACTGATGCTGCTCCTTTTGCTCTGATGCCTGTTTAACTTTTTCCTTCTGAAGATCATTTTGCAAGAACGGGTCAACCCACATTAAGAAACAATATCCTAAGTAGCTCACATAAATTTATGAGGATAATTAAAATCAAGATAGTATTTGAGGAAAATCAGGAGCATTCGAGATTGTAGTTTTATATAATGGAAAGTAACAGGTAAGAAATTGGCAGTAATTTCCAGATAACTCTGTTAATCCTAACTACCACGAAGAACAGCAGGGTCAGATATACAAGTACAGTTTCAGAGGGTAAAATCCGATTTGCCTTGGCTAGTTTCCTTTTTAACTTCATATATGGGTTTCCTACTATCCAGATACTCAAACTATGTAAAGACGGGAAAATGCGATATTTTTATTTTTTAATCCCAAACTAAAAATACAGGGAAAAATGAGAAAAGCTTCTAATTTGTTAAAGAGACTATTTTTTTCCTGGGTCTATAATTTAAATCGCATTTTAAGTGAGTAACTTCAACATTCCAATAACAATTCCAGTAACAACTTTTATTTTTATTCCAAAGACATACAGGCACATAGTTTTGGCCTACAAATTGGACCCTTAAACCTGTGTCTCTATTTCTTATGCTTTATGTTATAAAGTTTAGTTATAAAACTTTACTTTTATAAAACCTTTAATTATAAAACCTTTAGTTATAAAACCTTTCCTCAGCCTCTACTCTTCAGATATTCATCACATGGCAAGTTAAGGAAAAAAATATTCATAATCACTGACATCATCCCAGAGCAGTAAACAATCATCTCATACGTAATGTTGTTAAAGCTTTGTTACATTTACACCTGAATAACTGCAGCAAGATGGATTTTAGCGTTTGAACGAAAGAATTACATTGAATAAACTGAACTAGTATATTTTTAGGTTATCTAACCCATATTTTGAAGTTGCTTACACTCATCCTGCAATTTTAATTTCCCATCTGAATTCCTGTTACTGCTAACATGCATCCCTGAAATATTTGGCAGCTAGGATAATCACCTATTATTTATCCTTAGCTAAAAATATAATAGATATCTCTCTGGCTCATAGGCTGACCTCATGAAGCTTTCAGTCATCTTTGTTCTTTTCCATCAAATCTATTATCTTTCCTGAACCCAAACCAGATACATTAATCAAAATGCAGTTAAGCCAGCAGCGTGCAAGGAGAGGCTATCACATGTGGTCTATGCCCTAGCGCTCTGTTAATATGCAGCCTTAAGTAGCACAACTTCCATCATATATTCTAGTTACTCATTTAGCCTCTAGACAGATCAATGCAACCAATTATAGGGTGCTTATATCAAAATGGGAATCAGAATTTTAAGCAAAGTAGAAGAATTCTTGGCCCTTTACCTGGATCAGGTGCAGAAGTGTTTCCTGCAGCTGCATCTTCGTCATTGAACTGCTGTTGACCACAGATGGCTCTGGGGTTTGCAGTGGCAGGAGAAGGCTAGCTGAGCTAGCAGCAGGTTCTTGGTTTGCTGCTGTTAATCGCCCACTTTCATTTGCTTTTGGTGGAGCAGGTGTGGACTGAGTGAACACCATTGGGGACATCAACAAGGTAGGAGTCACAGTGGCAGGGAAGCGGTGGGGGGGGGATAACTGTTTTT